TTTTTAACATGTATAAAGAGCGAAAAGAGTACATGTAATGATTCAATCTTATTCTTATAAATTGGTATATCAAAAATTGCGCAAAGTATGTTAATGTATTCAGATAAGCTGCCACCAAATTTGGGATTAGGTATACTGTACTGTTTTAATGACGTTTCAAATTGTTCAGGCCATTCTTGAAGCAGGTCATCTACATCCGGCATTGGTCTGCAATTTACTCAATGATAGCTTATAAGAGATTATTTTAATGGGTTTACTCACTCCGAGTATTTCACAATTGTTGTAGATTTATTTCGATGCAATTCAGATACATCTTTTATCCATTTATCTATGATTTTTGAGTTTTTCTCAACATCGTCAATTTTCTTTACAACCTGTAATTGAACCACATAAGCTATATGGTGAGTGCACAGCTTCTTTTACCATCGACTCATTAGTGTGACTGACTGTGATAGAAGCGGCTCGTAGTTTTAAATACAGTAGAGCAGGATCACTTTGATTGGCTACAGGTTCGTCAAGTACAGTAAGTCCCAAGTGTGATTCAACAGCTTTAAAATCGTTGCCTGATAAAGTTTTTTGTGGAGGTACTATCTTCAAGAAAGCATCTATGTCACCAACAGCAGGTATAAATTCAGGAACAAATGGTTTAAATTTGTAATCCAAGGCAAGCTGTTGTGGGACGTACCTGTAAATGTGCCAATTGAATTGGTGTAAAATACATAAATCGTAACTTTACTTGGTAATATACTGAAACACTTCTTTTATATCATTTGAGACCTCCAAGTCATCATACAATCCAGGGTTATATTCACCCGGAATTGCAACTCGTTTCTTTTTAGTATTTCCAAGCTCATCGCTTTCATCTGAATCGCTGTAGCTTCCTTTCATACCAAGCTGTGTTTCTTGAAGATTTGGAGATTCAGATCTTGGTAATGACTGCTGACTACTCGATGGTCCGGCACTCTCAACTTGTGCAGATTGTGGCTGAAATATAAAGTACTTAACATTCAGTTGATATCATAATTTATGCCACCTACTTCTATTGAGATGAACCGATCGGTGTCTACCCGATCATCATCCGAGTGATCTGTTAGTGCTTGAGAAGGTCGACGTGAAAAAGGGAAGTGTTTGCTTGCAGGGTGATTCAACATAGAATGAGGCTTATCACTATAATTTGTTTCCATATTGTCTTCCGAGTCTACACTTTCGAGCTAAATGTACAGATAATTGAGTATATAGGTACCCCTCTGTAGTGGCCAACCTCTTACGTCTGATAAATTCAGAGGATTATTTTCGTCCTCCGATTTCTCCTGCATAATTGATAATAATTATCGATTAAGTTTAAATTATTGCAAATGTATAAAGCAGCAATTTGAAATGTGTGCGACTTGTCTATCTTATGTTGCTTAGCAACGAAAACTGGAAGCATTCCACAAAATACTAGTCGCATACCAACTTCTAGATTTTATGACAGTGGCGACAACTTATCATAATCTGCCAAATTGGGGATAAAAAACTAATAAGTAGCGGCCTGATCGTTAATAATAACAAAGGAAATTGCTAGATCATTTAATACAGACACAAACGTTAGAAAATAGGTAGCCAAAAACATAAGTATGATAGCTCGTGTCTGACCTTCACCAGAGAGTCGGTGACGGAAACGCCTAATAGGTCGTTGATTAGGAGTGCAACGTAACGCTGGTTGCCAATACATCACAAAAACATAATACCATTAGGCGCTTCACGTTCTTTCGAAGTGTGACCTTATGATCATGATTGCTAAACTCGTGAACAAACTGAACATAAAAGTTTTATGATCACGAATTCCTTACCTATAAATGCAAAGGTATTTTTGCTCAAATGTAAGGTTAGTCAATATTTGTAACTGAAGAAGAGCATAATCGTGCAAGTACTTCCACTTGTATTTAAATTATTTTCATAATCTAAACAAAAAATACGTAATTCAAATGCAAATGTGTAAACTTAACCATACTTTGATTTAAATTCGATCGTTCTTTCTTAAACGGGATCCTACGAATCATGATCTGGAAATCATGATCGCGAAGTAGCCGAAAGAAAGCGCCTATTGTATAATGTGGTTTTTATTCAATGATAATATCATTGAATTTATAACTATATAAATTCAATGATAATATGTATTACAAGTGGCCCAACGGTCGTTTACTTTTGGACACCAGAGTCGCAAGATTATTTTTTCAAAAATGTAGCTGTCTGTAATGCAGAGGTCGATAACTAAGATACGTGTTTAGCCCGGTGCCTAACCAATTAGAGCATTATTTCCATATATATAAGAGAAGAACGCAGATATTCCGTAAAAATATTCGTTCGTCCGAAGCGGTACTCGTATGGTTTCGATTCGTCAAATAAACACATAATGATAACAGAATGAAGTATTATTTAAGAAACAGACATATCGCCATCTATACGTGGTGTCCAAAAGTAAACGACCGTTGGCCTACTTGTAATTACCTATACTACCTTGTCGTGGCCCCAGAACAGTTTGTTGTTCTATGGTCATGCCATATCGTTTAAAACTGTGCAAAAGAAGGAAAGAAGCTATGAGAATTGAATTTATAACTATCAGAAGCGCGGGTTAAATGGCAGGATATGTGACTGTTTTCAATAGTTTAAATTGCACGACGTAGATGTCTCTACCATCGAGAAAGATGAATAATAATGTCAGTTTTTGACCTTTGTTAATTATTATACAGGAATCTGTAATGAACCCACTATCATCCACTATCTCGATTTGTAATTGTTGCATACAGAATTCTAGATACTCAAGAAACGTATTTATATTTTATAAGGCATTTATGTGGTACACAGGATGTTGATTGTTGAATGACGCAAGATAAACATTCTTCTTTTTATGAATCGTGAGTCGTGACCTACTTAACATTCCTTAAAGAAGTTTGAATTACATTTGACTGACTGAGGAAAGCAAAAAATACGTAGGCATCCTTGATCCACTGTAACAGAAATTAAATGTATGAAATGTATGAATTTTCTGTCGGAATATGTCTCTTTGGAGGGTTCCCTGTAACGCCTATCCTTCCTTTGTAAAAATTCTGCCACCGCAGGTCGTGGATCAAACTTACATGTAGCTGTCCCATTTAAAGTTTGTAATTTAACGTTTCTTCTAATAAGCTCGATCGCTTGTCTGTTTAAAGCGTGATAGCCGACAAAATCCTCGAAAAAATAAGTTGGTTGTAGGTAGGTAAGTACCTAGAAGTAGTAAAATAAAATAGATAAACACTGCGGTTTTTAAAGTTGTTATTGTCGTCAATGACTACATAGGTACTTGGTACCTATTTGTTATTTTAGGCTAAACGCGGTTGATTTCTGATTAAATACTGAATACCTACTACTACAGAGAAAAGTATTGCGCTACATATACATGCCCAACTCTGCATTAAAAAAATTAAAAACTACATGGGTAAATGAGCGCACTACTGGGGCAATTGCCCCGGTAGTTTACATGTTAAAAAATCCTCGATTAAACTACCTAAGGACAGGGGTTCCCAGTTTTTAAAGAGCCACAAAAAATTTTTGATTCAATATTATAGTTTTTGGCTATATACAGCAACAGCGTCCTGCAACAGTGCGTCAGTTTTTCCTACATAGCTGATACCTGGTAAAAAATATTGGTGGTTGCGGATCTACAGAAATTATTTTTGAATGTAGGTACAGGGTGTTCCATTTTTACGATGTCAATTAATAACTGATCTTTTTAAATAGAACATCCTGCATATTTTTACTTGTTTCAATGCCGTTTGTTCAAAGTGCTATAAGTTATAACTATTCTTTTTCAAATGGAACTACCACTATTTTATTTCGCTATTCGATTGTCTTTTGTATTCTCTTCAATGTTTATAAGGGGTGCCCTGTGCTTAAACCCCGCAGTTTTTATGTTATTCAATATTTTTCACAAAAGTACCTACTCATTAATTAATTAACGTGTTTATACATCGGAGTAGGCTGGCTACGGTACATTACTAACCGGAAATGACCATACCGGCGACGACTAGCCCATCATTCCAAATGTGTATGAAACATAATTTGCAGATCGCATCGATTGAACAAGTGCCCATTAATATGCCCGCTTTACACGCGCCGACTTAACCAGCGCCCGTATGACCAAATCCCGGCTGGGCTCCTGGGCATGTCGCCTACTTGGTGCGGCGCCGGTTCGTGCATTGCCGGTTTGTAATCGCCGGTTTGGAATGTTCCGGCCTGGCTATAATAAAAAAAACAAAAGAATACCAGAGTAAACAAGTGTCAAAAATTAGATAATTATTTGTTGCAAGAGTACGTTTGATTTCGTAAACAAATAAGATTAACTAAAAAGGCGAATTTCGAACAAATGAACTAATTTCTTTAAATAAATACGGAGAGCCGCAACTTTATATCAAAAGAGCCGCAGGTTGCCGACCCCTGACCTAGGATCACACGTCACACCGGGCGTCGATTCCCGATGTGCTTTGTTCACATCGGCTGACCTTGATGTGAACCTGAAAGTGACTGCATTCTCGAACCTACCACATCGAACAAAAAGTTGATCGAACGCAACGACTGGTCTAGAGTTCGGAACTATACTCTCCAATTTTTCAGATATCGAGATGTGGTAAATTACATTTGATTTCGTAGCTATTTTGTGAATCTTTGTATCCATCAAATGCTTTTATGCCTTTACTCGGTTCGGGGGGACAAGGAAAATGCTGTTATTCGCATCAAAGCGTCGATACTAATACCGGTATAATACCACAGATATACGTCAAGAATATCTGTGCTAATACAATTGTTTTTTATTCTGCAAAAATTTACCATTTAAGAAGCATTGATACAATTGGAGGGAGAGGGGTTATATTATTGCCCAAAACACCGCTATAGGTACCTAACCACAAAACTGCAAAAAGTGATATATAAAAATTTATTTTGTATAATGAATATCAGACTCTGTATGGAGGAGTATTAATTACAACATTTTACACAGGTAGGTATCTTATATATACAATAGAGTACCACACAGGGTGTTTATGGTGTTTACACTGCGAGATCGAGTTCTATACAACATTATTCACGTGATTAAAATAATGGCAATATCTTCAAATATCGTGTAGGTAGCAACCTTAAAAAATGCCGGTAGGCACTGCGTTTTTAACGTAGATCAGTTGCCACCGCTTTGAAAATGACATGTCCATAGCCTAATTATCCTGTTAATGCAAAATTTCTATTGTCTACAGGTGTATAGGTAACTATCGAGAACTCGTGATGTGCAAACCTTGTACATATATAGTAAGTTTAAATCAGAGGACGTTCGAAATTTTGCAATTACATATATCAAAACACTAATCAGACTTCACTTAAACCACAGACAACATAAATGTATATCCGTTGAATGAAAAATTATTTCGTTATTCAATGGTATAACATAGTAGGTATATTATGTTGTCTTCTATATGCTTAAACCAATATTGAAATATATAAATTTGGAAATAAATAAATACATTAGATGATTACTCCGATTTAAGTTAATTCTAAGTAGGGGTGTCGGTGTAACTATACATATCTACAAGTTTCTTAATAAATACACATTAAAAAAATACATAATTAATTTTTTAAATTAGACAAGAGAGAGAATTGATTAAGTACAAATTCTATAGTAATTTTATTATACCATGGGCTAATTTCGTGTTTTAAAAGGAATTTTAGAAGCATCTTTAAAGTTAAATTAATGGCATCTGTACAATTTATACCTAATAAAGTTTACAAGTATTTCTACTTTCCTACTATGTGATCATATGCAAAATTATTCGTGTACAAATTATTGGCAGCTCCACTATAATCAGCCCATTTGCTGAAGTCAATGCTTGGAATGATCCCGCTTCGACAAGGCACACGTGGATTTCTACAAAAGCAACGTATTTCGAAGTTTAGGCTGATTAAAGAGTGAAGAAACTTACATTTCGTGATCCGGTAAAACCATGGGATATAACTGGATTGTGTCAATTAAGTCTGTATTATCACAAATTAGCCTTGCTAAGCGTGTCTTTCTAATTTCTTGTAATTGTTCTGGTGTAAACGACGAGGGTTGATGTGGCAATTCGTACCTACACATGAAATATTACTCAAAGATGCCACCATTTGGTAATAATACCCACCAGAATCGATCTCCCCGTCTCGCATAACTAAACTGCGTGGCAATAACGCAGGCAAATGTCGGCCCCAACATACTACCTGGAAGAGGACGTTCTGACACGCCCCCTGACCAAAGATCTACATCATTCGGATGCCTAAAGATCACGTTTAGATGGCGAGTTCAGATCTCGAAAATCTTACTCAAATATTGTGCTGTATTTATGGACAGTTTCGTTAGGCATAGTGCCAAGTAATCCCTCAAAGTTGTGTGTATCAGCCAATCCACAGAATTTTCTAAATTCCATGTATCCGGGTATACCAAATTCTCTTCCACGTTGCATATTGAAGCTTACCAAGTCCATGCCAAATCGCGCGCCTACTTTCTTGAAGAGATGATTAGTAACCTCTTGAGTAATCGAGTCATCCATAGCTTGAGCCACTTGATTCATTAAACCCATAAAGTATTCGTCTAATACTCCAGCCCGATAAAGATCGTGAGGTCTTCTAATTAAGTCCGATAACCTCTTTGAAGCTGAAATGATTTTTAAGTATACCTATACATTTTATGTGGAGTTGATGCTCAAACGTACCTATGAATTTATGAGCTTTACTCCAACGTTCAACGGCAGTTGGTAGAAGCGAATGGCCAAAACGGAAAGCAGCAGAAGCAAATGCGTCGATAACATTTGGGTTGACAGTGCTATCGTAACCATCCCAGTAACCTTCTTTTTGTAATAAAAGCCCGAATTTTTGCATCACATCTTTTCCCAATAGTATTGGCAGAAACTCGTTGTATGTTACATGCTGAATTTCAGCAATGTTAATGCGACGCGCTTCCTATTTTCAGTAATAATTAGGCATACATTTTTATTACAAACTATCATATTACCTGGAAAAGAGTTTCATCGTCCCAATGAGGATTAACTTCTGCCAATGCGTTAGCGATCCTGTTATGCTCGCGTGCCATTAGTGTGTGCATGCATGTCAATACAAGTTGTTCGTTGACACGTATTTCGCCTGCTTCAAAGCAAAACATTGATTTGTTTGGACGAGTACATCCTTCATCCGGAACATCTAATTTCAGTGGCAACAAATCCTTAAGCCCATACTGAGAAAACACTGGATTCATTCTTAATTGACCTCCGTATCCTGAGCGCAATTTTCTAATAATGCTAATTATTAACGGGGCAATTAACATATAATAACGCACCTTGCAAACTTTTCCGTGACACCGTACACAGTATTACCGTCGAGCACTCCAGTTAAGGTGTTAAAAGGCACTCTGGAACCTATTAGGCGCATTTTTATTTTGTAAATGCATTAGATCATTTTTAAGTACCTAATCTACATCCTGGTCTTGGTGCAGGAAAAGCGCGTACAAAATCGAGACACTTGACATTGAATAGACGATAGAAATAGTCATCATCTGGAATTGGAATTTCATTACAGTATGGATGCTTCAGGTGTTGTGGCCGATGGCAGCATTCTTCTGGATCGTTCCTGTTTAAGGGATCTGTAAAATGGAATTTAAGATTTTATTTGATAGCAGAGTTAAATTGACATTTTAATAGGTTTGAATAGTCGCTCTTTAACCGCAACGCAAGGATAGATAAAGTAAAACAGATGATGATGATGACGACATTCTAATTTCATTTATCGTTCATATTTCAAATGGGCCGCGAAGCCCGATATAAAATGACGTACAGAACATATGACAAATTGACAATGCTGTTTCTACGGAATACGTTGCGTGGTACCTAAGCTGGAATGTATTTGAAAGAAAAGTGCCTAGCCTTGACTTGGCATTTATTATACTTATACCTACGTTTTTTGTGTGCGCCTTTGATAGGGAGGGGTGGGAGGGGGGTAGATAATAATTAGCCTTACATCCTATAGAGTATAAATTGCAGCTAGAAATTTCGTAGGTAAGACACCGCAGCGAAAAAGTGGACGCGTTTATTTCATAAGAGTGCGCATGGAACGGAGTCCATAAACGCATTTTATTTGATTATATTTTTTTTATTTTTGGTTGTGTTACGTTAGCGCGAGTCAGGGCGCGAGTTAATGTTTTGGTGGTCAAAATCCAAATACAAGGGATAATTTAAGAATTAGAAATTGTTACGATAAATACGAAGAATAGTGGAAGTTTTCACCGTACAAAATAAAAATTGTGTGACGCTAAATAAGGTTGAATTGTAAAATAGAGGATGTTTTTGCAAATACGAACAACAGCGTTAAATTAGAAGGACGAAATTCTTTACCTTTAATCATTCAAAGTGAATGGACTTAAAAAATTTCTTGTTGTACTAACAACTCGCAATTTCGTTACAACTGCGTTGGTAGGAATTTTGATATTGTTAAAGATACATTCAGAAAGTATCAAGACAGTTTAATATTTTTAGTTGTGTTGTTTTTTTAATATAAACTAATCACATTAATTTTGTATTTAAAGAGTGTCAAACGTTTTTACAATAGTTAAATATTTCCAAAAAGAGCATATCCAAAAAAGTAAAAGGTCAGCCGGTGGCATAATACCTTCATGCCATGGTTTTCTGAGAAAAGCATTTTGGAGGAGACACATTTCGAGATTTTTGGAGACGCAGCCCCAAGCGATAAACAATTTGGACTTTTGGTGTATCTGGAAACAGTTTATCAAAGGAAAGTTGTTCCAATTTAAGCATTGTAAGTACCTATTAGTGCAGCGGAGAGCCGGCGCTAACTCGCTTATTTGAGGTAGTTTTTTTTTTCAGAGTAGAAAGAATTGGGACCCACACCATTTTGTTCAGAAATGTTTGAACCTTCAGAATCTCGCTTTACGACATTTTCCCGTGGTCCTGACAAAAGTTATAGGCCGCTAAAGTTGAACTTCAATAATTCCTTGTGTAAAATGAAAGTACATTTATAGCAGAATCTAAAGCATTCATATTTGCCTACCTTGTTATGCACAGTTTTTAGAAAAATGACCGTCAACTTCCAAAATTCGTGTAGCAGATGAAAAGTGCTCACTTTGAACTATCATAACTTTTTATTTCACGATATCGATTTCCAATATTTATATCTCATTCGATGCTCCATAGCATTGTGATTATTTTATTTTCTATAACATTACCGCGAATTTTTCATAATAAGAAAGTTACGGTCCTTTATGTAAAAACCTACCGACCTCGCCGAGTCGGGAGTCGCGAGTGAGACGGAGAGGGAAGGATAGTCAGCAGTGTTCGCGCAACAAAGAGTGACGCGTAAGAGATTTTACTCTACTAAAACATTTCTCTCCGAATGGCGAATAGTTTTACCAAAACTAGCCATATAGGCCGTTTACAAATGCATTCCGCCGAGTTGCATTGTAAAATCTCAAACAATTCATTACCTCCATGTATATCAAGCTCATTGGTGAAATATACAGGGTGTTACATATAAGTATGTAAAAAATTTGGGTGATAACTGGTAAAGGGGACAAAACCAAGCATTTTTTCCAAATAAACCGAGGGTCCAACGCATTTCGTTTAAGAGTCACCCTCAAAAAAGTGGTAAGGTTTCCATTTCTCCATTAATTTTTTTCTCAGTAACCATATAACAGTTACAGAGACTGGTGGTAAGTCTTTGAAATAATTTTTCAAAATTCCTACCACAAAAAGGCACACCACTGAATAGGGGTGCGAAATAAATGTTGATTTCGACGAAATTTGGAATCTGGTGGTTTTTGAATATAAAAATCACGAATCTGAAATTAGTTTTTGAAAATTCGAAAAAAATAATTCCACTACAATTCTTGGCCGGACAACGAAAATGGAGAGAATTCCACGAAGTTTGTTGTGTAGGTACACACGGAACAAAATTGTCGAACAGTTTTTCTTAAGGTCATTTTCCAAACAAAAGTTTTACTCATTTGAAAATTGGTCTTTAGGGTCAGAAAATGTTCCGATGGTGGCATAACAAGTACAGTAAACGTCAATATTACACGTTCTGCTAATGGTGTCTACCTATACATTTCACAAAAATGTCAAATAAAAAATGATAATTTTATCACAGCGAGCATTAATAACTTCGACATCAACGAGGAAACAGTCACAGAATAAAAATAAGTAGGCCATATTCTGTGGAAACAGACGAAAAAATTCAACGCACAGTCGTTTTTCAAAAGCGAGATACATCGGCAGAAGAAATCCAAATTCCTCGTTTACCTATCACTAGATAACGACCCGATAACTGACTTTAACCACCTAAGTACATGCTGATAATCCTAAGTAAGTTCCGGTATCTACCATTCAATAATATATGTATGCCGTTTTTGAATTCTCCACCAACGAGCTACAATACCATCCTAACCATCGTCTAGCTAGTGAAATAAAAAAACAAGCCTGAATCTTTGGGACAAAAGCATACCGTTGTCACTACTGATCTTGCAATATACAGCACAGCACAAGAGATACCTATTGTGGAGTAACCCCCAAAATGTACAGGGAATGGTACATACCTATTTGTACCTATATATTTCACCACAGAACTGAGATACATGGAGTTAATGAATTGGTTGAGATTTTACAATGCAACTCGGCGGAATGCATTTGTAAACGGCCTATATGGCTAGTTTTGGTAATTCGGAGAGAAATTTTTTAGTAGAGTAGAACCTCTTACGCATCGCTCCTTGTTGCGCGAACGCTGCTGACTATCCTTCCTTCTCCGTCTCACTCGCGACTCCCGACTCGACTAGGTCGGTAGGTTTTTACTTAAATGACCGTAACTTTTTTATTATGAAAAATTCGCGGTAATGTTATAGAAAATATAATAATCACAATGCTTTGGAGCATCGAATGAGATATAAATATTGGAAATCGATATCGTGAAATAAAAAGTTATGATAGTTCAAAGTGCGCACTTTTCATCTACTACACGAATTTTGGAAGTTGACGGTCATTTTTCTAAAAACTGTGCATAACAAACAAGGTAGGTAAATATGAATGCTTTAGATTCTGCTATAAATGTACTTTCATTTTACACAAGGAATTATTGATGTATATCGCTTAGTTGCTGAGAAAATAAATACTTTCGGTGGTCTAGTCGCGCGCCCGAAAATGAGTAAAGTTCAACTTTAGCGGCCTATAACTTTTGTCAGGACCACGGGAAAATGTCGTAAAGCGAGATTCTGAAGGTTCAAACATTTCTAAACAAAATGGTGTGGGTCTCAATTCTTTCTACTCCGAAAAAATTTTTTGAACGATTTCGCGGGTCTCTCCGCTGCACTATATTCCTTTACCTGTGGATAAACTCCTAGAGAAAGCAAATTTAATTATTTACTATTTGTAACCGCTCTTCCTTCTGGTGTTTTTCACATTTACATTATTCATTTATGGGTTATTTTCAATTCAGTGAATGCGACCCCTTTTAGTCCCACCACTAGCGACGTCTCTGTCAATTTCATTAGCATAAATATATTCTAGCTACACAAATATGGAATTATATTAATCACAACCGTAAGAATAAATGTATCTTACATATTAATAATTATCATTATAAATATAATAAATTGTGGAATCATACCACACTTTTCCTGTACATTATTGTAGCCTGCCCAACACAGCCTCTGTAGCTCAGTGGCAGAGCACTGGTCTTGTAAACCAGGGGTCGTGAGTTCAATCCTCACCGGAGGCATGAGATTTTTTTAAATAAGTAATATTGTTTATTGAATGTTTTCAGTATGTGCCAAAGTTATATTTTAATTCAAACTTAGTTGTTTATGCCGAAAAAAGCTGGAAAATTGAATTATATTCAGTTGACGAATAAGGAATTGTGACTGCGCGCAGTGATCGATTTCAAGGTGGTCAAAATTATATGACCCGGTATTTGGGACAGTTTCTTGTAGTTATAGAATTCCCGATCGTTAAAACACTTGTGGAACCTAATAGCGTTGAGTGAAAAATTTCGTTATCCAATGCTAAAGTAACTCCACATCGGCCGGAGTAAGTGAGTAAGTGTGCATTGAAGACACAGGTTACTAAAGAATTGAAATAGGTTTTGTAACAGGTGGAATGGACGCCCATAAAAATGCACGGAAAGCAAATATCGAGTACCTACTAGAGCATGCGTGGGCAACCTTTTTTTCCAAGGGGCCAAAATAAAATTTTTCATATGCGCCACGGGCCACACTTGAAAATCGAAATAAAAAGTACGTTTAAAGAAATCAACATTTCTTTTTAGTCTTGATCTATTTTTTGCTTTCGTAAAAATCATTAAAAAAAACAATATAATTACTCCTGAATATTGACACGATTTTGCATACAAAATTTACCAAACGTGGATAATAAATCCCCATATTGAGCTTAATCCCAAAAACGTGTCGTCGTATTGCCCCACCCAGTATATATTGCGAGAAAATTCAGGAAAATACCTGGCGATATCTCTGAAACAAGAATTCAAACGTCTTGGAATCATATTAATTAATTAATTAAAATTTTAAATGTAACTTGTGGGCCCTATGAAGTATTAACTATGAATTATGTTAGCGGGCCGGACAAA